AATATGATTACAGCTTTTAAATTTTGTGCGCGAGCCATTTTTAGTTTGTTGGGAAGGACACACCCCCCTGGTTCACAAAATTTGAGTTCGAGAAATTTCTTTCATTATTTTACATTATAAGTACCCAAAGAAGCTATATATATAAAAAACCAGATACAATTAGGTGTTTTGCGAAGTTGAGAGCAATTTCAAATCTGTTCAGTTTTTTTTTGATACACCCTGTAGTCTGAAATTCCTATAATCTTGAGTGGTCTGTGTTAGCAATAAGAAGAAAGTTTCGGATTGATCAGGACGCAACTACCTGAAAAATACAAGGACGTTTTCGAGCAAAGACACTTCATCGGGAAGTTAGTACTGGTAGAAATTATTTGTAGGCTACCAAGTTCCCAACGAAAGGCCTTCGCTCGAAATGTCGAAGTTCTCCTTGTATTTTTCAGGTAATATAGTTTTGGGTTTTTTTTCATTCTTTCAGCAACATCTTCTGGAAAGCTTTTTCTCAATTTTTTATTTTTCCATCAATTTTGGAAGTTTGCTGTCCATGATAGTGACTCCCGTATTGAGAGGTGAGATCTTGAAGATTGGAAAATAGAAAAATGTTAGAAAGATCTTGCCAAGAGCAATCTTGTAAGATCTTGTAATTTAGGTAGTCTAGCATGTAACATAGTTTAATGTATAATAATTATCTTTTTTTCAGGTGATGTTTCATGTTTTGGTAATGACTGTTACAGTTTGGCATTTGGTGTTCCTGCTGCATTGATGATTATTGCTATAAGTAAGATGGTGTTATTGATATCTCCCTGTTTGTCCCCTGAAGGAGATTTGGGTCACCTCAACACATATCTCTACTTAATTCTGTCATCAACTTTATCAGATCATTTTACCATTGTTTCTAAAGTGTACAATCCATCCATCACTTTCTCTATATTCCTGGTTCCCTCTGCTCTCTTTTCTATCTTCTCTTTGCATGACTATTCTATCTCTTCCTATCTCATATATTTTCTCCTACACCAATTTAAATTCTTTGCTTGCATCTTTGTTTCTCATTCTCTCTTGTCTTGTGACTCTTAATAATGAATAAATATGTCATATTCTGTGCTGAATATCATATCCCGGGCTGTCGATCACCAAATTGTGACAATGATGATTAACATTGTATAATAATTAAATTTCAGTCGTGTTTGTTGCTGGTACTCCACGGTATAAGAAAAATCCTCCTTCTGGAAATGTAGTTGTGGATGTTGTGAAATGTATTTTCGTAAGTCAATCTGATATATATTGCCTTAGGTACATGTGGCATAACAATAGTGTCAGAATGTTCCACTCTGATCAGGCCTCGAATTTCCCTGAAATCAGTCGACGGCAGTGGTGTTAAAAATTGCCGTAGAACATAACAGCTGTCTACGGCAATTTTGGCAGTTTCCACAGCATTTTTTCAAATTACTGTAATAAAAATTTAATTTTATTGTTACTTTGGATTGTTGACAAGCTAGAAACATGCTTACATATAACTTTTTTTTCGAAGAAAACTGAGACTAAAATAGTAATTTCCGTATGATTTGATCAACATCTGAATTCAAGTATCAAAATAGTAATGCACAGTGAATAGTATAAAAATTACACTATACAGCAAAAAATTGCCATTGTTGCTGCAATGATCCACAGCATTTTGTTCTCCCTCTACGGCAATTGCTGCAATAAAATTCAGGCCCTGACTCTGATTGTTCATTCATTGTTTTGACATATATTGTTATTTGGTTCTAGCCGAGCTCTTATTTTTTCAATAACTTCTGTAATAGAAATGATTGCAACAGTAGTGGTGTGTTTTGTAGAGGAGAGAAACATGGCTTAAATCAGAGTTCTACATTTAATGTTTTTAATTTCTCTTCGAACAGCACGCGGCACGAAGAAGATGCAGTTCTGTTGGTCGTCGTGTCGGTAAACAACACTGGTTGGACTGGGCCGAGGACATATATGACGTGAGTATTTTTGCTACTACAGTCGAGGCTATTTCTCAAAGTATTCCTCCCCCACCAGAAAAATTAGCCCTTCCAAACCTTAGCTATGATCTGTGATCGAACATGGGTGGTATAGTGGCAGCCACAGTGCCCTTGTAAAGGTCAATTTACACTACACAACTTTTGCCTAAATCTGCAGTGCTTACAATTTGAGTTGTACTGTGTAAATCAAGTACACAATTCGCCTATGTTGTCATAAGTGAGAAGAAAACACCTACTGTACTGTATGATCAAGACAAGATTTCTAAAGAAATATATCCTAATTTATAAACATTACAAGCCGTTGACAATTTTGCGTTGAATTTTACCTTTCCCCAAGGGTAAAGCTTATCAGTTTTTGACCCCAAGACTAAAAATTATTTTCTAGAGAAAAATGATATCCGACGTAAAGGCTTTGCTTCGAGTATTGTTCATGTTTCTGCCACTGCCGTTATTCTGGACTCTGTTTGACCAGCAGGTTAGTGCATAGATAGATTTTCTGGGTCACCCCCTCGGAAAGTTTTCCCACCCCGCCTAGAGAAATTTAAAAATTTAAAAATCCAACCCCAAAAATCTCTGGTTATAATTCTTTGGTTATAATTCGTACAGGAATCTGTATTATTATTCCTCAATAAAAATCTTACAATAATTGTAATTTTAAGTTCTTTGTATGTTTGCATGGTGATAAAATATAATAGTTTTGTTTGTGGGAAAAAAAGAAAAAAAAATTAATATTAATTATTATTAATTATTAATAGTAATAAATTTACGTGGTGTTTCCACAAACAAAACAATTATAATTGTAATTTTGTTTTAACTTGCCTTATAAAAATGTGTTTTGTTTTTAGGGCTCAAGATGGACGCTACAAGCGGAACAGTTAGATGGTCATATTGTAAGTGGACATAGTTATAGATCTCATATTAACAACATACATGCAACAACATTTCCTTAATAAATTATAATGCTATGTAATTTTTTTAGGGTGAATTGTTAACTGTGAAACCAGATCAAATGCAGGTATGTGAAGAATTACAAACTGGAGAGAATGGGCTACAATATTTCATTTAAATAATGTACTGACCTCCCTATTGAGGACAAGTGTTTTACCACAGACTGTATATACCACTGAAAAATAAGAATTCCTGTGGTACTGTAAATAAGACGCTCTGAACAATTCTATTAATTAATCAGCATTTGTACCATGAAGAAATTCACTGAAAATGCCCAACTCTTGGATAATTATTGCACAGTGAAATTTACTTACTCCTGAGGAATTCCAGGGCTAAAATTACCTCACCCTGAAAAATTCCATGTCCCTGGATGGGAGGTGTACTGTGTACGGATATTTGTAAGACTCTTCGTCTGAGTGTGAAGAATTGTTTAAAATCAGAAACTATTGCATGTTACCAATACCACATCACTTTCCATACGATCTAAATGTTTTATTGCTTTTTAAATATTTCTAGGCACTTAATCCAATTTTCATTCTGGTTCTCATTCCAATCTTTGAGAGAATAATTTATCCTATTTTGAGAAAATGTGGCTTTGCTTTGAGGTACAGTAAGTGTTACTGTGAAAAGATTGTCCTACAGTACATGTTTGCATATGAATCATTTGTTAATGTTTGACTATCAACAAACTCTATATTCACCTCAATTCGTGTTTTTTTCTAGACCTTTGCAAAGAATGTGTATTGGGATGTTTTTGGCAAGTGTTTCGTTTTTATTGGCAGCTGTTCTTCAACTGGAAATTCAGGTATGAAAATTGCAGTATTAAAAATTTGGAACATGAGTTACTAATTTACAGTAAAGGCTCAGGTTTACACTATCAAAGTTTCATTGGTAAATTCTAACTTCATTTCATTTTGCATTGGTAAATTCTAAGTTTTGAAGGATTTGTAAGAAATGTTTGAGGAAACTAACTTAGTGTTAAGCACTGAGCAAGTTCTCTCAAACATTTCTTACAAATCCTTCAAAACTTAGAATTTACTGTACCTATAGTATACTGTATGCAAAATTCCTACAGTACGATCACAGAAACTTTGATAGTTTAAACCAACCTGTAGAGAAATATACATGTACTGTTTATTATTTACGAAACATGTTACTCAATTTTCTTTCCCAGGCCACGACAATCAGAGTTCTTCCTGCGCCAAGTGGACAGTCAAATTTAAGACTTATTAATGCGGCTCGTTGTTCCCTGAATGTCACATTCCCACAATATCCTTCATTACTCCTGAAAATCCAACAAAGATCGGTAAGTTATCATTGGGGAATCGATCAGAACTGAGCTAATTTAATTTTTTGTACTGGTAGCCTCACTGAGTTTTACATATTGTGTTGTTTTGTGCAGCTCATTGGCTACTTTTATCAGTTCTAAACTGTTATCACAAACAGTGTTGAGTTATCCTAATTCCAAAACAGTGTTAACAAAACAGTAGGGTGTTTTTAGAATATAAGATTCAACACTTAGAACAGTTTAAAAATGATACAAAACTACTCTTTATTAACAATTTATGGTAATTTTATTCAGTATACTATTTTGAATTTTTGATATTTATTTTCCCCAGGCTACTCAATACCTTGTCCTTCCATCCTATGTGAAGGATGTTCGTGTGAGAGCAGACAAATGTCCTCAGTCTCCGACACTGGCATACTTCAAGAAAGAAGAGGTCTTCGAATTATCTCTCGCATCCAAGAAGGCTTATGAATTTGTCATTTCCAATTACGAGGGAAAGTTCTCTGGCAAACAGTTTAAATTGAAGTTCTTCAATAAGATAAAGAGTGGAAAATCACGTGTGAGGTATATATATGTTTGAATCTTAAGACAATGTTTAATACAACAAACTCACTGAGTGGGGCCATTTGTTCAATGCTGGTTAAAATAAATTTTAACTGGTTAAAATTTAACCTTACAACAAGTCAATGACAACAAAACAACAACAACTATGACAACAAAACAACAACAACATCAACAACAACTATGACAACAAAACAACAACAACAACAACAACAACAACAACAACAACAACAACAACAACAACAACAACATCAACAACAACTATGACAACAAAACAACAACAACAACAACAACAAATAACAATACCAACAACAAAATATCATAAAACAACTATCATGTAAAATTATTGAGCCATCTTTTTCATAGATATCTTATATAGACTAGATAGCGCATCTCTTTTAGTAAAATTGAAGCCAAGAATATTCCAGCGGTTACCCCCATTCGAATTGATGGCGGCCATGTTGGAGTTTCCCACTCGCTAATAAATGCTTAAAAAACAACAATAACTTTCATCATTTGAATAGTTTGAAAATGTATTTGGAATAGGTTTAACTTAATGTTTAAGTTCCCTGTTTAAGAAATAGAAACCATACGAGTCTTCTCATTTCATGGGAATATCCTGAGTCTGCAATCACGGCTTCAATTTTTGAATTGCAGAATAATTAGATGCACTATCTAGTGTATATAAGATATCTATGGTCTTTTTACAGTAATACATCTTCCAGAAAGTATGTCACTATATGTTGCTATAGTCAGAGACATCACGAAAAGCTCTCAATAGCCAAAGTGAGATACCTGTACTTTCCAGAAGCATGTATTTTCACTATTTTGTTTGTAAAATTGGTTGTCTTTCTATTTAGATTTATTCACGCTGGAGCCGCAGTCGTTCCAAAGATTTCTATCAAATTGAATAGTAGTTTTACTATTTATAATTTAACAAGATTGAATGCCACGCAGTATCTCAGATTAAAGTCGAGGAGGTTTGTATGTTTTGACAACAACATTTCATCATTTTACAAAATATACAGCTGTTTACATTGTTAATTTCTTTCTAAACTCATAGAAATATAGATATTAGATAGCTATAATGTTTCTTTCTTGTATTTTTAGTTATGACGTGGAAATTTTAGATGGTGACAACAAAGTTAAACTTAAGGTTAGCACTATATTATGTACAGTATTTGTAGTATAATAACATTGTAATTTGTTCTTTACAATTTCGAAAACTTGTCTTTCACAACATGTGATTACACTTGAAAATTTGATACATTTCTCCACGTTCGAAATTCTATAGAAACATATTCAACTTCCAAAATTTTGGACGCTTCAAATAGTCTGGATATTTTGAAATGTTTCATAAAAAGCATAGAAATTTTCCAAGAAAAGCTAAAGTTAGAAAACCAAAGTATGGAAATTGTTTTATAATTGTTGTTTAATCATATTTTCTAGGAAAAACTGGAATTCCAGAACAGTGGGATGTATACAGTAATTGTGCAAGGGAATCCTAACACGCCTGATAACCCCGAGGTACTGTAGAACTAAGATTTTTTATTTGATAGTGGGTCATTCTAGAGAACATCCGTACAATACTGTACCTCCTCATGGAGGAAATTAGGAGTTAACCCCCTACCCCTTTGAATGCCTCAGTTATCAGAACAATTTTCTCTCCACCCAACTCCCCCTCTCCAGCCCGAACGACACAAATTTCCTCCTTTGGGACAGAGTGGTTCTTTTCTGGAATGGCCCATTTTGCAAAATGGTGTGACCCCACCAGTGCCAAAAAAATACTTGAATTTGTTAAAATTGTTTATATTTCCAAAATTAATTAATTTTGACATTTTCTTACAGCTTGTGTTCGAAAGATATGTCGAAGTTAGTCCAAAGACTGTTCCAATGTTTTGGCAAATTCCACAGTATCTCGCCATCACATCAGCTGAAGTGATGTTTTCAATAACCGGCCTCGAGTTTGCTTATTCACAGGTAACAAACTTCATTTTTCCTTCAAACTAGTACACTTTGTAAGTAATTAGTACACCAAACATTTGGTACGTGGCTAACAATGTTTTCACCAAAACATTTGTTTTCAAGTGATAAAATTACATTTTTAACTTTTCAAAAAAGTTCCCCAATTGTAAAGTTGGTATGAACAATAATATTATGCTTAATAATAAAAAAACTTAATATTATGAAAAATAACAATGACTTAATATTATTCAAAGAACTTAATATTATGCTTGCTTGTGATATTACTCTGAGTCTGTATCCACACCGGGCAGATTTGAAAAATATGCATGGCCACGGTGGGAATCAAACCTACGACTTTTAGAATATTGGATACACACTCAGAATGTGGATACACACTCAGAGTAACACCACAAGCATCTTATTCACCTGAGTACACTACACCAGCACAACAAATATCAATATTATGCTTGTTATATTTCAGTCTCCTGCAAGTATGAAGTCGTGTATTATGGCAGCATGGCTATTAACTGTTTCTGTTGGCAATCTGATCGTAGTGATTTTTGCTGAAGCTCGTTTCTTTTATAGCATGGTAAGAGAAATTAATTGCTGATACATTGACAACTTATCTGCATCACATTACTCATGAAGGTTACTTGTGTGATGTAACACTTAGTTCTCATTATTTTTATTCAGGCCAATGAATTTTTCTTTTTTGCTGGCCTCTTGGTGGTCGTTGTCGTCATATTCGCCGTGATGGCTCAATTTTATACCTACGTTTCTGACGAAAACAAGGCGGACAGTTCGAGTAATGAGGATGACGATAAATTTTTACTGGAGGAGGGAGAAGATGAAATTAGTAACTAGGTAATATACTGTATAATATAAACAGTAAATCTGTATGGCTTTTCAAATATTGAACCGAACCAAATGCCTATCAACTACTTATTCAAGATACAGTATAGTAGCTGTCTTAGCTGAGAAAATTCAATGAAAAGGTTATGCTATTACCAACAACTGGATTGGGGCATTATTTTAATTTTTCAAAAATTTCCTGTGATTGCCCCCTTCGCATTTGACCAAAAAATTTCAAAACATGTTTTTACCAGCCGAAACTAACTGTTTTGATTGTTTTTTGTTTCCTGTGGTCAACCACAATGCAATGCCCGCTTCCGTTTACGTTTTTTGTTACATTTATCACAATTGTTGCCTGGCCCACAACGTAACAGAAACAAAGAAACAAACGCACGCATTGCATTGTGGTTCACCAGGACTCTCTAACTTTTCGTCCAATTTTAGCCACTTTTTTAAAAATAGAAAAAGTGGCTTAAATTTGACGAAACTAATAATTTGTCAATTATTACCGCTTTTTCAAAAATAGAAGAAAGTGCCTATAGCCTTAACTTTACGTCCATTTTCAGCCACTTTTCTCATTTTTCATAAAGCAACAAAAATTAGCAAAAAAGTAAGCCTATACCCTTAACTTTTCGTCCATTTTCAGCCACTTTTCTCATTTTTCATCAATGACCAAAAAACAACAAAAAAGTAAGGCTATAATACCCTTTACTTTTCGTCCATTTTTAGCCACTTTTCTCATTTTTCATAAAGCAGCAAAAATTAGCAAAAAAAGTAAGCTTATAGCCTTAACTTTTCGTCCATTTTCAGCCACTTTTCTCATTTTTCATAAAGCAGCAAAAATTAGCAAAAAAGTAAGCCTATAGCCTTAACTTTTCGTTCATTTTCAGCCACTTTTCTCATTTTTCATAAAGCAGCAAAAAAGTAAGCCTATAGCCTTAACTTTTCGTCCATTTTCAGCCACTTTTTCCATTTTTCATCAATGACCAAAAAACAACAAAAAAGTAAGGCTATAATACCCTTTACTTTTCGTCCATTTTTAGCCACTTTTCTCATTTTTCATAAAGCAGCAAAAATTAGCAAAAAAGTAAGCCTATAGCCTTAACTTTTCGTCCATTTTCAGCCACTTTTCTCATTTTTCATAAAGCAGCAAAAAATAGCAAAAAAGTAAGGCTATAGCCTTAACTTTTCGTCCATTTTCAGCGACTTATCTCATTTTTCATAAAGCTGCAAAAAATAGCAAAAAAGTAAGTCTATAGCCTTAACTTTTCGTTCATTTTCAGCCACTTTTCTCATTTTTCATCAATGACCAAAAAACAACAAAAAAGTAAGGCTATAATACCCTTTACTTTTCGTCCATTTTTAGCCACTTTTCTCATTTTTCATAAAGCAGCAAAAAATAGCAAAAAAAGTAAGCTTATAGCCTTAACTTTTCGTCCATTTTTAGCGTATATTTCGTCCGAGTAGAGTAGGGTAGGGTAGGGTATTTAGAGGTAGGATGGTAGGGTAGGTAGGTAGAGTACTTAGGTAGGTAGGTAGACTACTTAGGTAGGTAGAGGTAGAGTAGGTAGGTAGACTACTTAGGTAGGTAGGTAGAGTAGGTAGGTAGGTAGAGTACTTAGGTAGGTAGGTAGAGTAGGTAGGTAGAGTAGGTAGGTAGAGTAGGTAGGTAGACTACTTAGGTAGGTAGAGTAGGTAGGTAGACTACTTAGGTAGGTAGGTAGAGTAGGTAGGTAGGTAGAGTACTTAGGTGGATCCGATGGATCCAATGGATAAGAATTTAGTTATATAAAAAAAAAATGGATCCGATGGATCCGATGGAACCAATTGGATCCGTCGGAACCAATTGGATCCGTCGGATCCGTCGGATCCATGGGATCCGTCGGATCCATGGGATCCGTCGGATCCATTGGATCCATCGGATCCATTGGATCCATCGGATCCGTCGGATCCATTGGATCCGTCGGATCCATTGGATCCATCGGATCCATCAGATCCGTCGGATCCATCGGATCCATGGGATCCATCGGATCCATCGGATCCATCAGATCCATGGGATCCATTGGATCCGTCGGATCCATTGGATCCGTCGGATCCATGGGATCCATCAGATCCATGGGATCCATCAGATCCATGGGATCCGTCGGATCCATTGGATCCATCGGATCCATCAGATCCATGGGATCCATCAGATCCGTCGGATCCATTGGATCCGTCGGATCCATCAGATCCATCGGATCCGTCGGATCCATGGGATCCATCGGATCCATGGGATCCATCAGATCCATGGGATCCGTCGGATCCATCAGATCCATCGGATCCGTCGGATCCATGGGATCCATCAGATCCATCGGATCCATGGGATCCATCAGATCCATGGGATCCGTCGG